AGCATAGTAGTCTTAGTTTCCTGGAAGCTTACCCACCTACAGAACAAATACTTTATGAAAAGGCTTCAGATTGGAGCTGGTTGGGAAATTATCCCCCCTCCCCCAACAAATCTCCACAAAAAGAACATTTTTTGAGTTTTTCTACAAAAATGTCTGGGTTGTTATTAAACTGCAGAAAAACACAAAATTGTCAGTTTTGGGCAACGAACTAAATTTTTCCTGCTTTTTACAGCAATCAAAAACTGAAAATTTCAACTTGTCAGGCAAAAGTTTCAGCAACACCAAACCATCTTTGCCCAACATTTTTTGTTTTTCAGTTGCAATGATAATTTTTTTTTTTTAGTTTTTCAGGTTTTTCACTAACTCCTCTGCTCAAACATGACGCAGGACATGGCCATTTTCCCTGGAAATTTCCATGTAGAAGAAATAGCTATTTTCTCTCAAATGGTGATGAAGATTTTTTTTATTAGTTCTACTTCTAATATTGAGGCCACTTATGAAGACCTATACCGAAGTGGAAAGGTGTTGTTGAATAGAAAGCATAAGGGATTGTGAAACCTCCCCACATAGACTCTAAATCAATCTGGAGCTAGTCATCCATTCACCTGCTGTCAGAGCAGTGGGACACAATGCTAAAGTATATGACTCCCACTACTTCTGTATAAGGCAGTGGGTAAGCCAGTCACCCCTTGAAGATCTAAGCACAATGAGGATGGGGAAAGGAGATCAATAAACACTAAGGAGGCGAATGGAACAGATGTGCAATTGTTAAAGGGAAATGGTTGCATTTTATTTACTTTTTATTTTTGTGACAGATTTCTCTAGACCCAAGATAGAACCAAGACTGGGTTTAATTTCTTGAAACAAGGACAAATTAAGCATGCTTTACTCCTTCTATCCCTGCTGCTGTTTTAATATATCATCTATTCTTTCCCTGCAAAAATCTAATCCAGTGGTTAGAAGGAACGCATTGTGCAAAAATAAGGAAAGCTGGATGTATTGGTTAACCAGAGTTGGATGGTTGTGGAAGATCAAGGAAATAATCAGTGTCAAAGAGAAATCTCTGAGTAGCAAACTGCTGGGCAAGAATTTACCATGAAGGTTTTAAAATTAGCCGATAAGTAGCTTTAGGAGCAGTAGGGGAAGCTGGTATTGTTTGTCAAGTCATAGATAAAGATTTTGACTGCATAACATCCAAACCAACAAGGTATTTTACAGAGGAAGTTAAAATTCTACTTTGATGCCTTGTTGTTAAGGTCTTAAAAGGGATAAAAGCATAGCTAGCTCTGTATGCGTTGTTTGGAGGGCACTGCCCGGTAAGCAATGAATAAGTTGAATTTTCTGTGTCTCTTTCAAAGAAAAAGTGGTGTGGGAGTAAAGATAGCAGATGGAGATTGTAATGATGAGTAGCTGAGGTGATTTAAAGAAAATCTACTGAAAGGTAAAGATATTTGAAAAGTTTCCATAGGTTCTATAAAATGTCAAAGCATTTCTTGAGTCTGCCTTTTCTCTATAGTTGTAAACAGGTTACAATACCCCTGTTTGATAACCCATTAGTTATTAACTACAGTACTAAATTTGCCCTTGTACCAAATGACCCCACGGAGAAAAGCTGTCTGTTTGATTACAATAATAACAAGTCTCTAACAATTGGATTTACTTAGCTAGATGTTAATTGATGCACTTAGAACCTTCCACAAAAGAGTCTGTGAATGTTGCATAAGATTGCAGGGAGCTGGCGCCAAAAATTAGAAGAGATTCGGTGAATCAAGGGTTATGAACTGTCAAGCTCTATTGAAGGAAAACTAATTTTTTAAAAATATCTGAATGGAGCGGAGCATTAAAAAGAATTATGCAAATTTTAATTACAGATAGAGGCTTGTGAACCATTTTGTTACAGTGCAATCTTAATTTTCACCTGAGAGGAATAATCATGATCCTTTAATGAATTGAGATTTGGGTTATAAATAAAAGGCAAGGAGATCCGTCATTATTGCTCATTGTATTACATTTCCCTTGGTCAGAGATGTCTGAAATTTTGCAGTGTAAAATCCATAGCCTGGATAGCTAAAAGGCAATTATTAGCTCCTACACCAGTAACTCATCCAAGAGAAGGAAACGTCTGATGATTTGGATTATGAAGATTAGGGCTTCCACCAATCCTGACCTGAGGTGATGTTGACCATTTTCTAATGGATAATTTTAAACAACTGAGCAAGGGCTCTCCTTTAACAGAACCAGATCCTGACCAGGAGATTAACCAGATTTTTGAGTTTCCCCTCTCCCATTTCATTATAGAATGCCTGTACTCCATTCACTTTCAGCCATCTTTGCATTGTCCTACCTCCATTTTAGAGGAAAGACAGAACATGTGGCACGACCATTCCATGTATCAGCTAATAGGGATGCTAAAAGAATGACACAACTCTTTAGGGATTCAGATACTGCAGTGATGGCAAAATATAGAAACCAAAGGAGACAGACAATTAACACCCTCTGCACAGTGTGTGAACCCATTTTCTCTACATGTCTAAAGCCCACAAGCCCAGTGAGTAGGAGTCTAAATATCACTCCCAAAACCTAAGCACGTGCATTGTCATTAAATAACCACAGAGGACTAAAGTAGAAATATCACACTGAATTTGTAACTTTTCATACAGAGACCTAAACCACACACAAAAAAACCTCCATAAAAAGTTACATGCAAAGGGGGTATTTCATCATGCCCCTTTGTTAATTTCACAGATACATAGGACAACTTGAGTGGGTAGATTTTAATGTACAGTAGAATGACATGACCATGTCATGTACACATTACAACCTGTCTACTATTTAACTTCCATATCATAGCGCTATAATTATGGCTAGAGAATTACATAAACAGTTGATTATCTGTGCTGCATTTCTATATTCATAGCTATTACGGGCCAGCAGTGATAAAATAAATTAAGAGGGGGAGCTCAGAAAGTGAGAATATAAACAGCCCGTTTCAGCGCAAATATGCAAGATGTTTCACATCTATTATTTATCTCAGGTCTATCCTTGGTTGGTCCCATGAAAACAGCTCATAACAGTAGTTTTTGTGTAAAGAACACTTAGTGCTATATATCGGGTACTACAGGTCTGATGCTTAATGTGCCGAGGGCCCTCAACTTTCACTGAATTAAATGGGAATTGATGATACTCAGCACCTTGCCCACTTGGGTCTAATTTACTATAGCAGTGGTTCTCAAACTTTAGCAACCTGAGGACTCCCCTTTTGATTTAAAATTTGTTGCTGAGCCCCCCGCTCAGTCCCTGCCCCCACTCCATCCCTTCCCCCAAAGCTCCACCCCACCCTACCTTTTCCCACTCTCTCTTCACCCGTGGCCCTCCTCTTCCCTGCCTCTTTCCGCCCTCTCCCCCGAGCGCGCCCCATCCCGCTCCTCCGAGCACCTCCTGCACGCGGCTGAACAGCTGTTTCCAGACATGCAGGAGGCACTGGGAAGGAGTGGGAGGAGTTGAGGGACGGGGTAAGCAGTTGATCAGCAGGGCCCATGGAGCCCCCCTTTGAGAAATGCTGTACTATAGCATTTCAGTACATTGATTGATGTTCCAACAATGAAATAAGTTTTCAATTACTTTTAATATGCTTATTTTTAAACAGATTTAATCACTGTCAGATTGATGCTGTGCTCTACTCCTCCCTCAGCACAAGAACATGAATATTCTGGTATGTCAATTAAAGTTACAAATACTACCTGTGCATTAAATCTTCTACACGGCAGGAGATTATTATGCACAATTTCTAGCAGCCACAGTAAAAACTTCCTTGTAGTTTTATCTACTTACCTGCTAGCCTCTTTGAAATAAGAAACAAAATCAATGTGGAAAGCCTTGGATAATACCCTTAAAAAGGGATTGGCCCTTGGTCACAAGCTTTAAGTACTATTTTTGCTGACTGTTGGTCCACAACATTGCTTAACTTCAGAAACTACAATCTCTCTTCTATTACAACAGTTCAGGTGAAATCCTGCTCCACTGAAGACAACAGCAAAACTGCCATTGACTTCAGTGGAGTCAGGACTTCAATCTTTGTTTTTTTTTAAAAACAACAAAATACTTTGGATCTGATCCACATTTACACGAATGGCCCTTTACATTCTCCAGCACTGAAAAAGGGGCTGTCAAAGAGGGACTCACCAGCTAGAGTGACCCTTTGTGGCAGGATGTGGTGTGGTAGGGACTTCTCCTGTGGCGTCCTCTGCCAATTATCCCTCTGCCCCTTCAGTGGTCTACATCTTCTTGTTACTCAATCCTCTTGCCAGGTCACTTTAAAGTCTCACCCTTTCTCGGGTATGAATGTCCCACACAACTCTAATTATCAACATGGCATCTTCCATCTGTCCTGGGCTCCTCTGTAGTCCCATTTCTTTTTTTCCAGGGCTGGGGGTGGGGTTCCAGACTTCTTCCCAACAGAACTCAGGAAGCCCCAACTACTGCTAAAGCAACCTTCATCTATCTGGGTTTGAGCTTTCAATCCCTCCAGGTTCTCCGCAGCTCCATTCCTGTTGTGGAAAACTGATCCCGAGGACTACTTCTCTAGAATGTAGACCCTTTCCCAGGGCCTACCCCTGAGGCTAGTTTCCTTGTGATTTCTTTCCTCTGCCTCCTGGGCCTTTCTGTCCTGGGTCTCTCTCCTGGACCTTCTCCCCGTAATTTTCACTTCCTTCCATCAGAAGACCACCCAGCTCCTCCCCAAGCCTGAGACACCCTCCAGTTACAGCCAGGTGGACTAATCTGACTCCTGCTAACCCCTTTGTTTATCTATGTGGTTTACACCCCACCACAAGATATTACAAAGAAAGTCCACCTTAAGGATGCTTCACATGACTACTGCAATGTAAAGTGGCCTTAGTGTAAATGAAAAACAGCAATAACAATACTTTAAAACCCTCAAACTCACTTATATTAAACTACTTTAGACTTAGATCTACCATAAAGTAAGGCACACACCGTGATTTATGATTTTCAGTATCTTTAATTGGCATTTCTAAAAATGATTGTGTTTAGTTAGAATGATTTCTTTAAAAAAATCCTTTTTGCAGAGACAGCGCTACACAGTTCTAATTTCATTTGCACAGATGTTCAGGGGGTCTGCTCGCTAGATGTTCAGGATACACTTGGGCACTAAGAGCAGGTGGTGCTTTGGTAGCAAGTCCACACGTTCCGTTCTGTTCTTCTTCATCTCTGTATCAGCAATGGGCGGGTTAGGTTCACTGTACCTTCTTAAAGACTTGTTTACATTTGACACCGCCTACTCTGATTTCCTGAAAGGAAAATATGAGTCAGAAGTGAGACTTACACACATGGATGTACTGTGTAAATGTCAGTTTCTAAAACACCTACTTATATGGTTAAGTCAAATATTAGATGGACAATATCGGTGGATTCAAATTAAGGAACAAGTGTTAGAGTAATCTGATAATAGGAATGTATGATGATGCAGCAACAATAACTGAAATTGGATAGAACTGTGGAAAGAAAAAAGCTAATAATTAGTACAAGGGACAAATATCCAGCCTAGGATTCCACTGTTGTAAGGATTCTCACTTTTGGACACATTACTTTTTGCACACATCTAAATGGACATTTATCCATTGTGGGCATACAAGCAGCATATCTGCATATGCAAATTGAACAGTACCCAAGCTACATGTGCAAAAATAAGTTTTTGCATCTGCATAAGGACTGTGTCCTCACTGATGCATGGGTAACCAGTTGCAAGTGTCAAAAACAGAAGGCCACTGAAAAATTGCCTCAGAATCTGACAAATTAACTGGAAGAAGTATATTGAACAGTGAGTGGACCTGGTACTTTTCTGTTTCATTACACATTATGTAAAAGAGGGAACCAAGAAGGGTGCAATCCCTAATTGATGTTTGGATAGCTCCATGAAGATAATTGGTAATGGAGAACTGACAGGGCAGAGAAGAAGCAATTTAGAAGTGATCCAGTGCATTTTGCAGTGCTCTGTAGGACAGAGGATTTTACCCAAAGGCTGGATTTGAGTGGAGCATGCTTGGCTGGATATCCAGCACTTTTGTCTGGTGGCTGCCATGTTGCGTTTCATAATCTAAGACTTTAAAAAAAAAATCAGTTGGTAGTAGAGGCTGCAGAGATAAACTTCACAGTGTGAACTGCAGCACGTAAACAGATGCACTTCAGGGTGTACCCATCTTGAGAGAACAGCTCTGAGAGAAGTATGGAACATATTGTTTATCTTAACGAATGTTCGTGCTGAAGCCAAATAAGAACACAATAACACTTTTGTTGCTCATCAAAGCACCTAAAAAAGAAGAACCATTTTATGAAAATCTGCACAATATGCTGCAAGTAGCTCCTCATTTTGGGGTCACAAATGAGCAGAGATTAGGAAACAGCCACCACTTACTTTTTCAAATCTGCTCATTGATTTTACTTGAGCGAACTTAGAAAGAACGCAAGAAATTAAATCAATATGATAAAACAAAAGAAGAGGAAATGAAATGTGTTCAAAGATAAATTAATAAATGCCCATGATCTAGCAATGGATATTGCAGGAATACAAAAGACCAATGAGGGTGAAGGAAAGAGAGCAGAAAATGATCAAGAAAGAAAGGCATGTACAAAATAGGACTGCAGTTAAAAGGAAGGTATATAGAAATCGTATAAAATGATTAGACAAACGAAGGAAAAGGAAGCTTCTATCTAACTCAACAATTATTTAAATACTGTAGATAGAGGAAAAGAGAAACAGATAAAAAAGCCTTCAAGTACACAAGGAACATAAAGTAAAATAAAAGAGACACTGGTGCCTCTGAAAGATGGGGATGATAATTGGTTTGGATCAAGTGTTCGCAAAGGAACATTGGTTAGGAAGGAAACCACTACTGAAGAAAATCAAGATAAAGCCTGAACAGATAATTAAGACATTAAACATCTGGAGTGAAATCCTGACTCCACTGAAGACAACGGGAGTTTTGTTACTGACTTTAACAGGACCAGGATTTCACCCCGAAGACTAAGGTTCCAATCCTGCAAGCTGCTCTGCATAGGTAGACTCTTATTCCCGCACAGAGCTCTACCCAGGCACAACAGCTTGCAAGACTGGGACCTAAGACACAGAACAAGCAAAGAGGATCTGTTCCAGAATCATCAAGGATGTAGCAAGAGAGATGGAGAGGATATCATTAAAAACTAGACATCTCCCATAAGCAGTAGTTACATTTACTATGCTATTTGCAGTATTTTCCACATTAAATATAGGAAATACGGCAATAAAGATAAATACCACAAGGTGGTACATGGTCATTGAAAAATGAGAGCCACTGTAGGTGATGTTCTGGAGAAGATCCAGCCAATTACAGCTTCACAAACTTTACTTCAGCGGTGGGGACAGTACTGAGAAAACCTCCTGAGGAATAGGAAAGGGCTGAACTTTGACATTTCTGACTTAACTGAACTTAGAGACCTAACTTGGAGAAAATTTTTGAAAATGTCTTACTGAACGTTTTCAGGGCGTGAGACAAAATTGACAGGGAAGCCATGAACATAGTTTGCTAGGACTAAAGGAAAAATTTTGATATAGTATCACACAAAGACTAATCTAGGACAGTAAGTATATTACTGGGCTGAGCTACCTGAATGGATGGCTGGATTTCAAAGATACTAGTAAGAGGACACAGTTCAGGATGAATGGAAACAACTAGTAGAGTTCTACAAGGATTGGTATTAGAACCAATTTTGTTCACTCTGATATATCAATCTGGAAGAAGGAACATGCAGTAAAGTTATGAAACCTACTGATTAAAAAAAACACCACAAACTGTGAGAGGCAGTCAATACAAAAGAAAAAGGTTATAAAATTCAGAAGGAACTGGAGAATGGCCAGATAAGTGCCTGTTTTAAGTCACTGTTGTGAAACAGAATTTGAGGAAGGAAGGGGGGAAAAAAAAGAAGGAAAAAGAAGACCATCATACTACAAAATTCAGACCAGGAGAACTAGCAGGTTGGGAAACTACTAAACTCCAAGGCATAACACTCAATATATTATAAAACTGTGCAAATGTTTAAATAAATATTTGGATCATTGTGTAAAGTTCAATAGGATCATAAAATAATTATTGAAGTATCATAAAATGTGTTTATGGTAATTTGCCTTGGCACCAAAGGGCTCTCAGAATGACAGAGACCTGACGATCTCAATTATTTAAAAGTTTTACAAGTTTTAAATAAGGTCAAAGGAGAGGAGACCACACTGAGGATTCCAATGGGACTGATGATGCCTTTTTGAGTTAGTGAAACATACAAGAAGTGACAAAATGTACATCAGAAAAGGCTGGGCATTAAAGCAGTTTAGAGACTTTCTCCACCCAGAGTATTTTATATACAGCAGTGTCAGTACTTGGCTGGTAGAAAAGAGTGTGATTTGGCACATGTCATGCTGAGCTGGAAATGGCAATGTTGGTTATGTGTCTGCTTGAATAGGAACCCTCGCAGTGGCCTTTTTTCAGAGAGCCCTTGAAGCAGCAGGTCTGGATGCTGAAAAGTCAATGGCACTTAAGCACGTATGTAATTGCTTTGCTGAAAAGAGATGGAGAAATACATGTCCTTAAAGTTAAACATAGCGGGACTCCACATCTGTGCTGCCATTGTGACAAGGATTACTTTCTCCATGGCTCCTAGCAGACTTCCCCTGCCTGGAACCTGAATACGCCAGACATATGTAGGAATGGGGACCTGGACAGCAACAACAACACATGTAAAGATATGTGTTACAGATAGACGTGAAAAATCGGGACGGGGGTGAGGGGCAATATGAGCCTATATAAGAAAAAGACCCCAAAAGTGGGACTGTCCCTATAAATTGGGACATCTGGTCACCCTATTTACAGAACAAACTAGCAAAGGCTACAGAGCAATTAGAAGAAATGTTTTTTAAAAAGAACTGGCTGCTTTTCCCTGTGATAAGTGCTCTGCAATGTCAGTGGGAGATCCAGCTTTGACTTTTGACCCCCCTCATTAACTTCTCTCCTCAGCAAGGTTTGGGAGCATTACTGAGACAACACGTGTTCAGCTCCACAGAGGGAACGAATGACTGAACGAAGGAGCTGTCACGCAGATTGATTCAGAAGCAGGATTAGCAGGCTCAAAGGGGATTCCTATCCATTATTTCTTGATGCAATGATGGTAGCTCAAGGCCAGTGTGCCAAGTGATGTAAAACTGGGGACAATGAGGCTATACTGACTGTGAAAAATACATGTGTGGGTGAAATCTTGACCCCACTGAAGTCAGTGGGAGTTTTACCATTGGCTTCACTGGGGCCATAGTATCATCCATAGAGGTCACACACAAAGGCATTAGGCAGTGTGTGGACAAAAAAAATTGATTACATGGGACAGACCTAAATGTGTTTCTGGGCCTCTTTCCCTCCTAACCTTTTGCAGACCCTTCTATGCAGTAAAGTGGAATTCACTTGGCTCTGGGTGCTGTTGCAGAGGTCTCTGATGGCATTGTGCTACTGATCTGGAGACAGGGATTCAGTATTCTAAACAGAAAACTCCTAGGTGCTGCGTGAATTGAACGGTGAGTGGGACTAGAGATCTGATTTGCCCCCTTCAGTGGGAAAAGAACATTTTACCACATCAGGTAAGCCTCAAAGAGGATGTTATGAACCTCTATCTAGAAAAAAAATGTTATAAACTTATGTTAGTTGCTGTTAACTAGGAAATATAGAGACAACAGTCAGAAAGAGCATGGCGTTTTACAAACAAAACTGCTCTCTTTGTTTTCTAAGCCAGCATTCATTCTGGCCCATATTTAAAAAGAACAATGGTATTTTTTTCTCCCTCTGGCTTATGCTGCTAGATACAGAATTTCTTCAGTCCCCATACTGTTTATATCACTGAGTGCATGAAGGATATTTCTATGACACGTCTTCCTCTGTGCACACAATTTAAATGGATAGATCTGGGAACAAACAGTTAACACAAAGATTGCCTGAATTTAGAACATTGCTCTTTGCAGAAGGGGCATGAGAGAATAATGGCCCGGCATGAAATTATTGCTTTAGAAGCAAGTCAAATGCAACACCAATGTTTAATTACTCCACAGTAAGCCAAGATAAGGTGCGGCAAGCTGTGTGCTGTTACTTTCACCATTTGAATAAATAAAAAAAAATTATGGCATCTAAAACATGTTACATGACCATACCAGGTGCATTTCATCTCCTTCGATCCACTGGGTCCAACCACGGCCTTCTTTTTCTCCTTTCTGTACGCAAAGAAGTTTATCTCCATCCCAACTCACGTTAGTCTAGCAAAATATATACATGTTATTCAGCAGTATTATGGCATTCAGTTTCATCTATTACACTTAGGTGGAGTCAATTTCCTTAAAGGAAAGCTTCAGTGTAATACAATAGATATTTTAATCACACTATCGCATTACTGAGAAAAGTATAACTCACACACACTTTTTTTTAAACTTCTTGAAGTCATTAAAAAGAACAATTAAATGTAGTTTGATGGCAAAGCCTGAGCCACAGGAAATGAAGCTGGGTGTCTCAATACACCAGAAAAGCAGGAGACTCTTAAAGCTGTTGTAAGAATCCATGTGGTATAGTCAGATCTATGATTTTTTGGTAATGTAAGCACTCTACATGATTTCTTCACAAATGCTGACCCTCGAGGTCAGGAGAAAAAGCTGCCTTAATTCACATGTATGACCGCTCTCCCTTTTTTATACACACATGCACTCTTTCCATTGGTGCTCAAATTAGTAGTATGTTTCCAAAAGGGCCTGAAACTTTGACCTTCTAAAAGTTACGTTTCCCATCAATAGGTGGCCTCCCCAATCCTTCCTTCAGATCCTACACATGCCTGGGACCAACTACACCCTGCCTTAAAATAATAATCGGCTGTACCTAACAATAACTGTCTAGGCCTTTCCTGTGCATCCAAATGCTGAGCTGCCGTTCATGTCCCAGGCTGTCTGACATCATCGATCAAGACTTTCTGTGGAAGTAGCATCTCTACCTGGGAGACCCTTCTTTAGTTATGGAGATGCTGAAACTATGGCAGATTTCCTTCATTACATTTTTGGTTTTATTAAATACCCTTTTAGGCCCTGGCTCAGCAACCCTTTCTTATTTAGCAAAGCACTCAAACATGCCCTTAACTTTAAGAAAGGGTGTAAGTCCCAGTGGCTGTGCTGGGTTGGGCATAATTCTGTAAACATTTATACATGACTACCTGAGTAGTTCAATGGGACTTCTCCCATGAGTAAAACAACTCACATGTGTAAGCATTTGCAGGCTCAGGCCCTAAGGCAGTACAGCTTATTTATTTTTAAAAGCAATGACTAGGTTTTTTTCTTGTAACAATGTACGATGGATTGAAATGAAATATTATTTTGTGATATAAAAACAAAAAGGACCTGATTTTTGGCTCCATTACACTAGTTTTACTCCAGTGTTACCCTGAGCACTGGTCGAATAATACTGGTTTTAAACCAGTGTAACAGAGTGGAGAACTGAGTCCAAGGAATAAAAAAGTAAGGAATTACTGTGCAGATCTTGAAAGCCTTGAAGACATTACCTCTGTGAGCAGTCAAAAATGGAGAAAAGGTTTAATTCTACAGACATTATGGAAATTCACTTGTCTCCATCTTGCTTTTTTTTAAAAAGAAGTCAACCTACATTTGTCATGCTCAGGAGTTGAACACTGAATAGGGCTTAAGTACTACTCATCCCTATTCTTTTTTGAGGATGTGTATGTTACAAACAATTAATTCTCAAATGATAACCATGATAGCCACCATCTATAAATCCCAGGGGAAGCTTCCAACTAAACAAGCATAGAAAATGAATCATGAGAAAGATTGCCAGGGTAAATAATTGTAAGTGAGGCACTGTCAGTCATATGGAGTCTCTGAAGACAAACTATTCAACTGTCCTTGCTAAAAGTCTCTCCACTTTTTACAATGCATTCAGAAATGTTTTGGTCTTTCCCTCTAAAATAAACTCAGCAGCAAATCACATTCATAAAGAACCACTTACATTTTACTGTCTTAATACCTTACCACATGAAGGACTACTGATTACAACATGTTCAGCACATTCATCTGACAGGAGAAGATATGCATAAAAATTATTGTGAAATAAGTCACAAAGGGTTAAAATGGCCAGTTAGAAAATTCGAACTTCTAAGATGTAGATGTTCTAGCCATTCATAAGATTCACAAGCGTAACACTAGTTTTCATTTGTCTCTTTTTGCAATGTCTATTTTAAAACCAATTTCCATTAAAGATTAAGTTGGCTTCCTTTACTGGTGGGTTCCTCACGGCCTGAACCCTTCCATTAAGAATTAATGATAGCTGCAGATATGCACAATGCTGCCATGGCAATCAGCAATATTGTTCTATCCACCCCCATACGCACTAGTAAATGAAGAGCAGGAAGGCTATGTGGGCTCATGAAATATACTAATGGAAATGATTAAAGCAAGATGTTTAAGAAATGTTGGTGAATATACAGGACATACTCAAGGGACACTTGTTAAGGAAAAAGCATCAACAACCTCCCATTATTATTTTTAACTACGTACCTTGACTTTTGCAGGTTTTCAGGAGTCTTTGTACCATAGAAGAAACTAATCAAATTGTATTGGAACTAATCAAAAGCAGTTTGTGATGAACAAGATTAAGTGACAAAGAGGGAGGACAATGGGGCTGCATAAACTGAGGGCAAGATCTGCACCCTAATTATCTACATAAATATAAAGGCCATAAATATTCTATAAAAAAGAAAAATTAGAGAAGGTCAATATCAAGGCATTCAAAGAGTGTGTGTGGGGAGGGGAGGGGGGTAATTTCAAAACAGAAGAAATATTCATTCACATTACTGAGCTCGACTCTGAAGCTACACTGGTTTACACTGGCTGAGAATCTGGCCCACTCACCTTCCTAGAGAACTGAGTGAAGTGCATTCTTCCCATTGCATAGTGGGTAGCGGGGAACGGAACTGACCGGATAACTGTTTTGCCAAGCACAGCCACAGTGAAACTTAAAGCCTGTTTGGCCTGTAATGCTGAATACAGCATGGAAAAATCACTTCAGTGAAAGAAACATTTACAAATAAAAGGCTCAGTCCTTCCCCAATGAAGTCAAGCGGAGCATTTTCTACTGACTGCAAGTGGAACGGGAGTGGTCCCCATGAAAGCTAATTGTAGAACAAGTACCTATGAATATTAGTTAAAACTGGACAAATATGGCAAAAAATAAGTTTCCAAATATTTGTCCTAATAAAGCCTGTAAATTCACTTTTGTGGCATTCACAATACTTTATATTCATTCCTATGAATACTGAACCATTGATTTGTTTTTGGTTTTTATTCACAAATTAGGTAAGTCTCAAACATACTTGTGAAAAATGCATTTGGTGCCATGGTTTTTGCCAGGAGGGTGAATATATCCATCTTAAAATGTATTTGATTCCTTTTTATCCGTTTATAAATTCTTCAGTCATCCAATCCCAGAGTGTAAACAATAGTTGGTGACTTAGGCAACCAATAGCAACTAATCAAAGTGAATAATGTATCCACAATTCATAGTCTGAAATAAATTCATATAAAGCTGTCAAACAATTCTGAATAATGAAAAAAATCTGTAAAAATGGACCCCCCTCCATGTGAAGATAACTTATGGACACAAAAAAAAGCTAAATGTATGTAGTAAATAATTCACTACATATAGTTTGCACAGATAATGTAAATCATAAGCCACAAAGCAGCAACACACTGGGCCTGATTCTATTCTGATCTTACACTGTTGTTTACCAGGAATAACTCCATTTAAATCAGTTGCATTATGTAGGTGTAAAGCCAGTGTGAGATCAGAATCAGGTTATGTTCATCCAATGCTCATATCAACAATAATAAACTTTATGCATCTTTGTCTAACTTGTAAGAGGTCTGATAACTCCTCTCTAGTCTAGTTCAGCTGGGGAAAATAAAGAAATCTTTCTAGCAGCACAGGGAGACAACTTTATTCCCCCCCTCAGCTTTCTAAGGTGATTAAAATGCTGTCTGAGCTCAGAAAAATGCAATGTTTTTATGTTCCTTTTTACCAATCAAGGTTAGACATTCCTTTAAGTGATTTAGCATGACCCCCCAGAGGCACAAGGCAAGAGATTGCATTAATTCTGCAGTTTTATTACCTAGAATTCCCAATAGTCTTTTTTGCCTTCTCTTTGGATGCATGGATATACATACACACTTGAATGGTGCAAGCAAATCAAATCTTTTCTGACCTTATGTTGTGCTCATTTTCCTACAGGATTCAAAGAGAACAGAACCTATGAGAGAAGAACACAGTGTTCTCCTCATCTTTGTTCCAGAGGTAGCAGAAATTGGTATGTCAGGAGAATTAATCTTAATCAGTAGTATTTTATCATTGGGGGTTTTCCCTTTAGCTCAAACTCTTAATGGCTGATAAAAAAAAAAAGCAACTGAGAAAATACTACTGAGTGGAAATAGGGCAATATTTTTGGAACAGAAGAGATCTATTTCTATTTTCCATGAGATGTGACCAGGTTAGCTACAAAAACCCTGAGGAGTCCAGTGGCACCTTAAAGACTAACATTTATTTGGGCATAAACTGTTGTGGGTAAAAACCCCACTTCTTCAGCTGCATGGAGTGAAAATTACAGATACGGGCATAAATATATATTGGCACATGAAGAGAAGTGAGTTACCTTACAGGTGGAGAACCAATGCTGAAGGCCAATTTAGTCAGGGTGGATGTGATCCGCTCCCAGTAATTGAGGGGGAGGTTTCAATACCAAGAGATGCACTTTAGAAATCTCTCCCCTGTAGAGTACATTACTCACCATATGGACAAGCAGGAAGAAAGCTTGCAGCGCTGCTGCCTGTTGCATAATGCCATCTGCTGGACACCACATACATTGAACAGACAACTAAGACTCAAGAGGAAATAGGCAAGAGAGAGATGTGGAGATAGAGTTTGGGTCTCTGAGTGAAAAATTTTAACCCTGGTTCATCTGTTAAAATCTTGATGTCATAAATTAATAACAATTCACTGAAACCTGGGATTCCTTGCTTCCTTGAAAATCTTACACTGCCTGGAGGATAAAGTGAATATTTCAGTTTCCATTTCTGCCAGTTTGACATCCTTCCCATGAATAGGGCATATTATAGGGAAATAATATAGGAGACATTAAAAAAAAAACATCCAAAGGGTATAAACAGTTTTACTTCAGCACAAACACGGCACTTTAATCACCATAATATTACTA